GCCTGTCTCACTGCCTGTCCGTCCTCCTGCCTGTCTCACTGCCTGTCTGTCCTCCTGTCAGCAGCAGCAGCAGCATGAAGAAGAGGAGCGGTGTGTTCGTGCTCTGGGTAAGTCTCTAACCTCACTGACTCTTCATCGTTGAAGCTGATTAGTCTTCACAGTCTTCACTGTTCTTAATGTAACGCTGACACTGAGGCTTTCTGCTGGAGGGATGTGGATAATGTGCTGCTTCTGTTTTCATTTTCAAATATTCATCTTTAATGAAAGAAGACGCGTTTTCAACAGAATCTCCAGGTTTATTGATTTTAAATACATAATCACATTTAAAGCTTTACAGGGTTTGATTAAATGTTTCATGTTTATTAGTTGTTTCATCTTCCTTCCAGTGTTGTCAAAAGATAATAAAATAAGTTTCATGAAATCTTATCAGGTAAATGTTTTATTTGTGTAAAAGTAAAAGTCATTTCATTCTGACCAGTTTGGTTTGAATGAGTCCAGATGTTTGTTTTCTTCATGTTCTGTTTCTCTCTCTGTGATTTTAAATACTTCAAAGTGACTTCAAGGACATTTTAACTGTGTTATTGTTGTAATTCAACATCGATCCTTTTATTCCTCTTTGGCTGATTTAAATCAAAGATACATTCATATTTCTATATAATGTTCCTGTGTGTGTGTGTGTACGTGTGTGTGTGTACGTGTGTGTGTGTGACTGTGTGTGTGTGTGACTGTGTGTGTGTGTGACTGTGTGTGTATGTGTGACTGTGTGTGTGTGTGTGTGTGTGTGTGACTGTGTGTGTGTGTGTGTGACTGTGTGTTCTCAGGTGTGTGTGTGTTGTGTGTTCTGTTGGCATGACCTGGACAACAGTGAGTACGACTGCTGGCCTCTGGACAAACCCAACGAGTACAACATGATGGACTGTGGAGGTACCGATCTTCATCTTCGTCTTCACCATCCAGAATTATAGAGAAGAGAGTTTACTATGATGTCATGTTTAAACTTTGTGTTCCTCATGAACGTTACTGTCTGGAGAGAAACATTAAAATGACACATTTATGAATGAAGTCTGGTTAAGAGATGATACATCTGTGTACTGAAGGTAGTAAAAGTATATTATTATCTGTCTGTCTGTCTGTCTGTCTGTCTCTGTGTCTCTGTGTCTCTGGTCCAGGTCTAGAGATGTCCTGGGTGGTCCGCCCTCCAGAGACGGTGAAGAGCGGTGAGTTCTTCAGCGTCTCGTACTCGGTGACGGCCTCGGACTCTTTCTACCAGTGGGCTGTAGAAAACCACATCTTCACTCACAGGTTAGTACGTCTCTTCTACTGGTCTACAGGTGACGTACTGGGTTCAAACAGGACCGGCTCACCTGAGCTGTGCTCACACGGAATGACAAGCTAATCTTATACAGTCAAAGTACGCAAATGTACGCAATCGGACGTGAATGTACGGGAATGGACGCGAATGGAAGCGAATGGACACGAATGGAATGGAATGGAAGCGAATGGACGTGAATGGAATGGACGCGAATGGAAGCGAATGGACGCGAATGGAATGGAATGGAAGCGAATGGAATGGAATGGAAGCGAATGGAATGGAATGGACGCGAATGGAAGCGAATGGACGCGAATGGAATGGAAGCGAATGGACGCGAATGGAAGCGAATGGACGCGATTGGAATGGAATGGACGCGAATGGAAGCGAATGGACTGGAATGGAATGGAAGCGAATGGAATGGAATGGAAGCGAATGGACACGAATGGAATGGAATGGACGCGAATGGAAGCGAATGGACGCGATTGGACGCGAATGGAAGCGAATAGAAGCGAATGGACGCGAATGGACGCGAATGGAAGCGAATGGACGCGAATGGAATGGAATGGAATGGAATGGAAGTGAATGGACACGAATGGAATGGAATGGAATGGAAGCGAATGGAAGCGAATGGACTGGAATGGAATGGAATGGATGCGAATGGAAGCGAATAGAAGCGAATAGAAGCGAATGGACGCGAATGGACGCGAATGGAAGCGAATGGACGCGAATGGAATGGAATGGATGCGAATGGAAGCGAATGGACGCGATTGGACGCGAATGGAAGCGAATGGACGCGAATGGAAGTGAATGGAAGCGAATGGAAGCGATTGGACGCGAATGGAAGAGAATGGAACTAACAGCTAAATAGTTTATTTTGTTAATTCAAATAAGTGTCTTTTGTGTTTGGTGTGAACACAGCGTTACTCGTCTCTACTCTGAACCGGTCTGGTGTGTGTGTGTGTGTGTGTGTGTTTAGCTCCATATCAAACGCCGAAGCAGCTCGGAGGTTTTGTGAACAGCTCGACTGTCCGTCCAACTGGAAAGACGCTGATGGAGAAAACTGCTGCATCCATCACGCTAACATCCACTCCTGTCCTCTGGGTCACATGGTACACTTTGAGTCCTCAGTCTGTGTTGGTGGATAAACAATGGATTACAATTAAAGCACAATTTATGATATTTAAATCATAATTAGATGCCATTAAAATGATTAATAATACCATTACAATCGAATCAGGTTTGTTCTGGAGCAGCTTTCTTTACGATATTAATACGTTTTTACATACCTGCTACTTTTGTAATGTATTTTATTGTATCGTGTTGTACTGTAAAGTTTACTGTAGAATTTTATTGATTAATAATATTAGGCCAATAAATTGTAATAACCTGCTCAGGGACTACAAACAGAAATAAGCTTCTAGCTAACTCTGCAATATTTACATTGAGGGGGCAAGACAATAAAGTAAAATAATAAATACATTTAAATTAAATTAAAAATAAATACATTTAAATTAAATAAACTTATTAGAATTCATAACAACATACCTTCCCTGAAATACAGGAGGATTTCAATAACATTTATCACTCGGATATAATTGGTGGATATTTAATCTCAAATGTAAAATCTGATTCAGTAACCAGTAACTCCACCGGTCAGATCATTTCGTGGATAAAACATAAAAAATATTTCCTTTCAAAATGTAGGACAGGAAATGTAGAAAGTCGAAATAGATTTTGAAAAATGATTTTAAAACTGAAATTAACCAACTTTCAGACGGAGAGCATCTGTGGTCCGTGGATACCCGACGACGGGAAGATCTTCACTCACACCATCTCCACCTCCGGCAAGATGACCCAGAACAACTGGACCGCCAAGGTAACACCAGTCCAGTAATGGTTTCAGACGGGGCCAAGCTCTCAGCAAAAAACTACACAAAAGTCGTAAAAAGATACGGTCAAAATGGAAGAAACCTCAGTTTTGGGGGGATTCAAAAATCCTTGTTTGACTGTTTTAATATTTTCATCTGCAGAAAATATCAACACAAAGCAAAGTCTTTGGAGTCCCGAGACCAAATAGAATGGTGATTTTGGGGAATTCTTCCTGAATGTAATGTAGTACAAAGCATAAAAACTAAATTGAATATTTTATATCTTTATATCTTTACTTTATATCATCAATGTTTCCAACTCTCCTTCTTAAGCTCTTAACTTCTTTAGGGATTCATGCAAAATTGTACACAATAGCAAAAAGCAAAAGATTTCAGATCCTCTGATGTTACATTTCTGCCTTCACATACTTGGCTGTTGTTCCCTAAGTGACCAGGTAAACCCTGAACCCTGAACTCTGTCCCACAGGTGGTTCTGTTCCACGCCGGCTTGACGTCGCTCATCGCTCACATACGAGTCGGTCGCATGCAGGTTGCTCTGGAGGCCAAGAGCACCGTGCAGCCGGCTGTAGGTAGGTTGTGTTGGTGTTTGTTGACCCCCTTTAGTCTCTCTGTTTGTATTACTTTAAACCAATCACAATGGTAGGTAGGCTTATACCCAAAGTCTGCGTCCAGTTAGTCAGACTAGTTGACCATTTACTTCCTAGCATGACTATAGCAACAGTTACAATGAGGGGTCATGTGACCAAAAAGGTAGCTCAAAGCTAAAGTCTTGGCAGCAAAAGTAGTTTGTTTAGTTTATAAAGAAATCCTCTCGTTAAGACCTTGGTGTAATCGTCATTTATACGGATCTGGATTCCGACGGTCGCCCTTGTAGCCCTCTAGGTCTGCTCCCGGCACCCCAAGGAAGGCGTTCAAGAGGAGTACTGATCAGATGCCAAAACCATCTCAACCGACTACGGTTCTCTTCCAAGTTCCTCCTGAATATCTGAGGTCCTCACCTTGTCTTTAAGGTGGAGTCAAGACGTTCTTTCAACTGTTTTGGCGGTTCACAATCTCATTTATTTGGATTATAACCCAGGAATCAGGACCACAGGGGGACAGTTGGAAGGTGGATTGGCCGCTAATTCGAGACCTCCAACCATTGAAGCTCAGCTGATGAGGTTACATGTGGTAAAGACATGGACTGTATAAGAAGTGGACATAGTCGTTGTGACGTCTCTCGTTGGATTGTGGACGTTTTGAAGCCTCGAGTTCAGCGTTTTGGCCGTCGCCATCTTGTTTTTTTGCAACCAGTGAACAGGAAGTGACCATACATGGACTGAAGAGGAGTGACGTAGAGACGCCGTATACGTCTCTGGTAGAGACCTGTCAATCACCGTGTAGCCCCGCCCTAAAGCATCCCCTGCTTTATGGTCTGTTTGACTCTAAATGGACCATAATGTACTAAATGAACATCATGCTGTATTGAAGAAGACTTGAAACTAGAGATTGAGACCATAAACTCATGTTTACAATGTTTACTGAGGTAATAAATCAAGAGAGAAGTAGAGTCATTTTCTCATAGACTTCTATACAACCAGAGGAGTCGCCCCCTGGTGGACACTAGAGAGAATGCAGCTTTGACACGTGAAGCTTTGGATTCTTTTTCTGGAATAAACACAATAATCAGTTTTATTCGTATCACAAAGTAAACTCGTACCTATGTCGTCTGGCTCGGCCAGGAAACGCCGCTTGACTCGGTAGCGTCTCAGGTTGATGATGTCATCAGGCTTCAGGCGGCGATACCAGCCGAAGCACACACTGTTCCACAACACCACACACACACTTCCTGTCCGGTCACACACCTCCAACACGGCCTGGACACAACGACACACAGAGGGTCCTGTGGTTCATGTGGTTCCACAGGGTTCCATCTTTGGTCCTAAACTACTGTCTACATGTATTTTTGTTTGTTTAATACAATAACTAACCAGTAGGTGGCGATGAAAACCACGGCAACAATACGTAGAATGTTACTGTACAAAAATATATAATATATATAGAAACAAGTGAACTATATGTTTCACTATAAACATTGAACCAACAGATACAGACGTGTTACAGGAAGTAAGTTATATACACACAAACAGACTGACCTTATAAGGACACTCACAGTTCTGGTCTGTTTTCCCATAATACATCAGGTGTGACTTGTTGATGATGCGTACGATCAGCTGATGGTGGACGACGCCCCTGGCAACGCCCCTGGCAACGCCCCGTCGACCAATCAGGAAGGAGTCCCGCAGCTGGGACACGGTCACAGCGGGAGGTTGAGCTGTCAACACGTTAAATATATTCAATTCATATCAATGAGACTTTAAACAGATCTAATTAAATATTCAAATATCAACAGTCTTACCTCCCTCCTCCTCCTCCTCCTCCTCCTCTTCCTCAGTGGGAGGAGCTTCCCTCCACACCCCCCCGCTGTAGTCCACGTTGTTCCACAGAGGGAGGAACACGCTCCTATTGGCTCTCAGAGGAACCAGAGGACCTGTGGGATCAATCAGCCAATCACAATCATCGTTTGATCAGAGGGAGAGGGGCCAGTGATGTCACAACAACAGGAAGTAGTTTCTCAGCTGCAGCAGCGACGCACAAAGACGGAGTGATGAAAGCACACCGTGTTCCCACTGTGGGAAGCGTAGTTCTCAAAGGTAGAGTGTGATTATCCACAAACAGAAGTCAAACACTGACCCTGTCCTCCTCCTTCATCTCCACTCACCTGCTGGTCCCGAGGATCCAAACCAGGACAGAGAGTCCACATGGACCCTCCTGAGTCCTTCATCCTCTGCCTCACCTGGAGCTCCAGCTGTGACCTCCACGCTCACCAGTCTGTAGCTGCAGGTACAGAACCCGTTAAAGCCTCGACCCCCATCAACCACAGCAGCAGAGCTCACCTGTCGTCACTTACCCGTCTCCATCCGCGGACGCCCCGGTGCATGCTGGGAGCTGAGCGGTCATGGTGGGCGTGAAGGTGGCGTTACGCAGCGTTGATCCGGCCCGCAGGACGTTTCTCTCCACCAGCCGGTTCAGACCAGGATCCAGAGTCACACGGAGCCTGCAGTCCCAGTCTGTCAGCGTGACGTCATACAGGTCATCACCTGGAGACCCCAAACCAGTAAACACAGACCAGTAAGACTAGGATGTGGTCTAGTTCCTGCTGTATAGGAGACAAGGGTAGCCTTTTCCTGCTTATCGTATTTATATGTTCTGGCCCCTTTAGTTTGTCTCGTTTAGTTTGTCCCGTCTCGTTTAGTTTGTCCCGTCTCGTTTAGTTTGTCTTGTTTAGTTTGTCCCGTCTCGTTTAGTTTGTCTTGTTTAGTTTGTCCC